AAGTATTATTGGATATTTTTCGGCTTTTCGAAATTTCTTTACAATAAGGTTGAAATTTCTGTAGAGAAATTATTTCGATTACTTTTATGAGAATATTAAAATTGTTTTATTTGTGTACTCAAAGACATTTAATGTTTACTTAAACGATTCGCTAGTGACGATTTTTTTCGGAAAATTATTTTCTAATAAGTTTCAATTAAGTTCTAGGAATATGAAACGTTTATAAATATCTCTATCCCTCTTTACAGGAATTTAAGCTATCACGGTTTGTTATTTAATATACATAGCTAAGATAAAATTCCTGTTAATATAACAAAAATGGAAAATATCGTAACACGTTTTATTTCTAGCTTTCCATGAAAAAATCTAACAATTACTATTTTTAATTGTACCAACAGAATATTTTTTTGTCGTATTTACTTTTTGTAATTTGTCACTTTTCAAGCGTTGGTCAATATATTAAAATAAATTTCGTAATAGCTTTTTCGTTGAAAATAAAATAATACTTCATAAAATACAAACGTTTTAGCGCGCAAACCAAAACAAGTTTTTTTTATGGAATAGGAGGCAAACGAGCAGACGGATTACCTGATTGTAAGTGATCTGCGCCAACCATAGATACCTGCGGAACCGGAGGAGTCATAGGCACGACAGATACTTTTACTTTACATTATCTCTAAATGGCCATATAAAAAAATAGTACGTTCTGTCTTCAGAAATAAGATAAGTATTACTCCAAATCTTTAGTTCACTAAGTTACATAAAATAAACGATGACTCCAATTTATTAGGATGCTATACATACCTATATGTATGTAAGTATCTATGCATCCATAAACTTATTTATTTACGTATCATATTTCTATTTGTCTACAATATATTAAAAATTAAACATGCGTGGGAAAGCTATGCTTTGGCATGAATAAGCCAGGTTGACCGGAGAGAAACAATCGTTGTGCTGTGTCAGTTAGGTTACCGGAGGCCTAATCTCTACTACCCTCATCCCTAATTCCTAAATCCTTATACCCTTACCCCTAAAATACCGGTAATGGATTCGTAACTCCACTGGCATTACGGATGTCTATGCTTTGCTTACCATCAGTGAGTTATGTGATCGTTTGCCGCCCAATCACATAAAAACAACATATACGTGTACAGTATGTACATTCTTCTTATCTGAAGGTCGCAGATGACAAAAGAAATGTCCAAATTTTATCAGTGTGTCTCCACCCTTATGATTGACTGTCGAATTATAAGGGTGGTCTAGAGAATCGATCATTCAACGCAAATTCATTCTTTAGCCATCTTTACTATCGTCGTTTTTTCGCAATGAAAGGTTTTGAAAAATTATTCTATGCTTAGTTTAATATTGAAGTGGTAGGTACTATTTTTAACCGACTTCAAAAAAGGAGGAGGTTCTCAATTCGACGCGTATTTTTTTTTTTTTTTTTTTTTTATGTATGTACACCGATTACTCGAAGACGCCTGGACCGATTTGCAAAATTCTTTTTTTATTCGATAGGGTATACTTGCCATTTGGTCCCATTGTCATGAGATCAGGATCTGATGATGGAATCCTGGAGAAACCGAGGGGAACTTTCGAAAATTGTAGGGGCAAGTAGGTTTTTTGTATGATGTTTAAGTAGGCCTCTAACAACACTACAACTTGACGAAGGTTGAAGTCGACCAGATGTTGGAGCTGGAAGACAGTCAAGGGATCTCCTTGAATATTTGGAGTAATTGCCTTGTGTTTTGCCTTGAATGATTTGTATTGGCGAGCACTTTGCAGCAGGCTTGGTCGTAACTGTCGTTAAGGGTCTGATGATGAGAACGAAGGACAGCTCAGGGAACTCCTGAACGGTTTACAGTAACTACTTCGTGTTTGAACTTAATTCATTTATATTGATGAACACTTTGTACCTGTAGGTATGTATCATAACAACTGAAGGTCTGCAGTTTACCTGATGATGGAGACAATTGACCGTCGAGAGAATTCCGGATGGAAACGAGAGACAGTCGAGAGAACTCCTCAACGATTCATAGCAGCTTCCTTGTGTTTGAGCTTAATTTATTCGTTTTGATGAGAACTTTACACCTTGATGGATTATGACTGTCATTTGGGATCTGATGATGAAGACGAACGACAGTCTAGGGAACTCCTCAACGGTTTACAGTAGCTACCTCGTGTTTGGACTTAATTTATTTATATTGTTAAGAACTTTCCCTCTCTTAGAGAGATAGCCTGTGTCCCAGTAGTGGGAACATTAAAATGGCTGATGATGATGATGATGAGAACTTTCCCATTTCTTGGGATCTATATTTTTTAATCGGGCGGCTCCTTTCGTTGGCCTACACATAGCTACTTAAAAATATATACTATTCAATTTGTTAATTTATATTTAAAATATTACTGTAGTTTACAGAAGAACTTGCAACAGATACTAAAAAGAAAAAAATAAAAAAAACTACGTTTAAAAAAACCGACTTCAAAAACAAAAAAGTGTCAAATAAGTAATTAAAATTGATATTTTAATAGCACTCTTACGTACGCGAAGCTAATACTTTTAATATTAATAATAAAACACTATCAATTCTATGTGCTACCTATTCATAGGTTTGAAGTCGGTGCCAAGCCCTAAACAGAATAAAACTAAATGAGCATTAAGACTGTTTAAATGCTAAAAGACGAAATTTCCACAACTAACAACGCAGCTACCTACGAATACTTTTAACAACCAAGTAGGTACGAGAAAACTTTCAGAATTTATAATTCATCCAAATATCTTTCTAAGCTATATACAGTTTCGCCGGTAACGAAACCATATAGACTTCTGATTCTACGCTAACGCCTTGGCTAACGCCTTGGCACCGACGCATTGGCATTCAACGCAAATTCATTCTTTAGCCATCTTTACTATCGTCGTTTTTTCGCAATGAAAGGTTTTGAAAAATTATTCTATGCTTAGTTTAATATTGAAGTGGTAGGTACTATTTTATTTTACACAATCAATTGAATAATAATTTTAAAATGGAAATGTATTTGTACAAAATATGAATTATTTTCATCTCCATAATTTTTATTACGTTTAAACAAAAAATGTTTTATTTTTATTACCCTTAAAATATTTTTTCATTTGTAAATGGAATTATTTTCTTGATTAAATTGGAACAAACAATTTGTCCCAACGATAACTAAGCGGTTAGACTGTGGACGCCCAAACAAATATAGTGGACTATCCCCAAATAAAATTTTAATTAGATTGGTTAGAAACTATCTTTTTCTACCTCAACTGGGTTTATTTATTTTTCATTCAGAACGAGACAAAAAGAATTATTTATGCCACCTTTGTTATTTCGTAAATTTAATTCAACCAACAATTTCTGCGCAAAAAATAGATTTTAAACATTCCTTACATACTTTGAGTTCCTTATAACATTAGTTAAGAAAAGTCAAATATTTTTTTAAAACTTTATTGTTTCTTTATAATGTTTATTACACATGTAATTATATAATGCGGAGCACCGCACCTTCAGGTATCGTAATACATACAACAAATTTTATTTATTACTATTGTTACTTGTATACAATAATAAACTTTTGACATAATAATAACTGGTTATAATAATTATCAAGATCTGTCGTATCCTAATTCAAGAAAAAACACTTTCAATTTATTTTTTTATTTCGTTATTTTACATCGAGATTCAGCGGGATTAAAGCTGGACAGCGTTTTATGTACAATGTTGTGAAAATTAAAGGACAAAGTAGTTTTTTAACGACAGTTTCTGTCTGAAAGCACTTCGATATTTTCATAATAAGTCGATTCGAGCCTTAAAAAATAAAGGGACGGGGGACAAGATTAGGTTTTTTACAATTTACGAAATTAAGGTACACTTTTATAGGCAACGAAAGTTTACACATGTTGAAGTATTTTACGTATTTTATTTCGTTATAATTTTTATATAGAAATATATCGGTCACAGGAAGAATATTAAAGTACACAAACAATTTTCGATTTCAAATCAGAATTGTTTTCTAACTATGTAAAATATTTTCTCCTAGAGTACGCTTACAACTATCTACTCTATCATTATTTTTTATAGTTTTATTATTATACAATATCTTCCTTTTTCAAATGGGTCTTACTATAAGTATTCCAAAATAATTTGCAATTATTTTCGATATGCATTTATTTTTATTTAATGAAAAATATTTTGCATAAATTACGAAATCAGAAAATAATACTGATGTCTTTTTTATGCGCAAATTTTATTATTGCAGTTTGTAAAGAGTAATTTAAATATGTTTTTTTTTACTTTACCAAGACCCCTTTGCAAAAGTTACCTTACAAATATTATTTACAACATCATTTAGATTCACAAAATTTACTAAAAACTTACTTACAATTTACATCACTTAGTACAGATATTATTAAAGGCTAGATAGAGTGATTCGTATAACCTCAACTATTTACATTTTCTTTTTGTGTTTTAAACGTAGTATTGTCAGCTGTTTATACATTCCTGTGTTAACTATCATTTTGTTCTTTCGTTTGATTAAATTTTCGTCATCATCATTTCACTAATACACATCTATCATAAACAATTATACGTTTTTTTCGCCAATTAATGTAATACAAATTATTCGTTACATTCCTGTTATAACATTTTACTTGGAAGTATAATTATAGAGTGACAAGGGTTCTTTATATGTTGGAAATCAAATCTAATTATCATTACGTAAATTAATACGGTTAACACGCTTTATATTACACTATATACAACACTATATGGAACAAGCATATCCTACTTGCTCTTGTAAAGTAATTTACTTTATATTGTACATAACACAACCCACACTATAAAATAGCAAATTGTTTCAGCCATTTGTATTGAAAATGTTGGTCAAAGTTATATTCTTCTGGAGGTCCACATTGTCAATATAAGCGGCTGGTTTTGATAAAATCCTTGTATTTACATTTAGTTAAAGATCCGTATGTGTCAAGAGAGAGTGATGAACAGGCAAGCCGCCAACACGAGGCAGTGTGTCGGCGATGTCGGTGCGAAAGCCTGCCCTCCTCGCTGCATCGCCGCAGGGTATTCACCTGATAAAGGAAAAATCGAATTTGCTTCTTTGGCAAAAATTAAAACTGTTCTCAACAATATTGGTAGCAACAAAACGAATATAGAAGAGAATCAGAACTTATTCTGGTCAACAAATCTAACAGCTAAAGAAAGTACGATAGCTCTAATTCATAAACCTATTTATGATTTGCTAAATTTCAATGATAAAATGAACTGATAGCCGTGTATTGAAATTAATAAATTGTAGATTGAAATAGGGAACAAAGGAAAGGAATTTAAGACCAAGAATAGAGCCATAAAACGAGTGATTACAAGAATGTCGATATATTATAGCGACGACCAGAGTCATTTATTAATTATAATAAAACCTTATAAGGAAGACAATAATAAAACCTTATTTATTACTTAAAAATTTTTTTCACTCATAAATATAAAAGTGTGAATGCAAATCGTATTGTAAACTGATATTGGATTCATAACATTAAATTAAAAGCGAATACGTGTGATCATAAATCTTAGATACAGTTCAAAGAAAATTCAATTACTTAAGTGTGACTAATATCCAAAAGACACACGATAGTTTTTCAACTAATGCCAGTGATAAATTATAATGTTACATGACAACACCTTATTTCTTCAAAGTTCCACCTATTGTTTCTACCGAACCTAACATTAAAAAGAAACATAAAATTCCGTTAATTCATTGCTTTAATGATAATAGTCTTTAGCCTTAATTTTTCATTCGTAGAGAGGTTTAAAAATGTATTTTCTTTCCTTTATCTTACGGAGGTCGTTTATCAAGAAGATTGGGATGCTCTTTACGAATCGCCGTCAAGATTTCGGATTTTATAAATTATGATCTGAATTAAACAGTATTATATTAAATTTCACGTAAAGTCTAGTGAAATGTCAATGTTATTAGTTTCTGATATTAATGAATGCATAGAAACTATCACTTCTTTTCAGAATCTTATATGTAATTCACGAAGTGTTCTATTTCAAATTACAAAAACTTGACCTTAACCTCTTGTCTGCCAGTGTATGACAAAACAATAGAAAACACATTGTGTCTCGCGTGAATCTGCGCTCCGACAAATCACGGGTGAAGAGCGTAGGACTAATTATTTAAAATAGTGGTTAATATTATAGTAAGGCCATAAACGGTTAGGTTAGGTTAGTACCCAAAAGAAAATGTTGTGTGTCACGACTGAAGTGTCATCTAACTCACCATTGAGAACATGCACCACGATGCTCTTGGACTGCGCGTTGCTCGGGTTACACTGATACGTCCCGGAATCTGAAGGTCTTGCCTGCTGGATTAGCAGGAATGAGGTCGTCGTCTCCCCCTTCTCAGTCACCACCGACACGCCCCCTCTCGGGGAGTCGTAACTTATTATCTGTATACATTTTATTCACTCCATGTTTTATGGTAATAGGATTGATGCTATTTTCTAGATTGGATACATTTTCCTGTTTTTCATGTTATAAAACTGTTGGATTGAATATATTATTATGGTAATTCGGATTATGTTGTCTGACAAATAGAATTACATCTGGGCTGTTAAATTTCAGGATTGTGCCGTAAACGTTGGTTTCTAAATTTAATGTTTCACTGTCATTATGTGTTATTATGAAAATTAAATTAAATTTATAGGGGATTATTTTAAAAGCAAGCCTTGTTAATCCTTTAGTGGTTTAAATATGGAATTTTCTCATTAAACATTATAAAGTCGAATACAAATAGCCAGTTTTTGTTATACAACTTGTAAAATCTACTCTATTACATTACAGTTGAGTTTAATTTTATATACATCTGAAGTTATGCTTGATTGGGTTCTTACCGCATCATTGTGGTTCCAAAAAATGTAAGCTGGTGGCTCGGGTGAGTATAGAACCACACAGGTGAGGTTTATAGTGCTGCCCCGGTCTATGTAGAGGTCAGGGCCACCAATTATCTCTGTTGTTGGTTCTGTAACAAGAATAACAAATTAATAAGTACATAATGGACTTTTCACAAATATAATATTAATAATTTTGATCCATATTGAATATTTTGTTAATATGCTTTCCCTTTATTTGCTCTATATAAACAATCATTTTGTTCGAAGATAATTGAATTAATTTTGTATCCTACATTTTTGTAGATGTATGAACATTTTTCTTACAACAGTTTTCTTTAACATTCTTTATCTTTGATATCCTTTCGATTACACGTTAAAGTTAGATAAGTTAGATTTTTATATAAGTCAGCTTAGTAAAAAAAGTAAAAAAAGGTCTGTGTTGTGAATAAATCTTTATTTCTGTTCTTGCATACCAAATAATATTCTTGACAGCACAAATACTAGACCGATCCTGATGTTAATGATATATAAACTATTAATACATTATTAATGACTGAAAAATAGTTTAATAAATAAGTTTTCAAAAATAGTGTTCGTCGCGAAAATTTAGATAAAGCAAACTGTACACGAAAATATTTTACTTAGACTAAAGAAGCATTAAGTCACTACAAAAACACTCCTTGAATAAGGAAAGAACGTCAGTGGGTTTTGTTTTTCTTATAGCACGCATAAGTTGCGTGCGTGCCCATAATATGTCGCACTTAATTAACTTGGCCAAACATGACCAGCTTAAATATTTTGTTCTAAGTTCATCAACTTTGTGACGCAAACGCCTACATGCATACTATACTAGCATATTGCTACAAAAAAACCGCCATTTAAATATTCATAGTAAAACAATTTATCTAGATGATGTAGTTTTGTTTTGTGATTGACTTTGAGTCATTAAAACCAATGCAGTAAACCTAATTAGAGCGAATCAACACCAACAAACAATAGTGATAATGAAAAGTTAGTTTCAATGTTTAAATAAAAGTTATCTGGGGAATAATTATAATGTTGTCGCGTCAGAATGTTTGTATAAGACAGTGACGGCAACAATTTTATTACTCAAAAACTCAAAAATTTTGGGTTATTCTCAGTCATACTATACGAACTGATGAGTTCCAATGGAATTTAAATCTTAATAGTAAATATCTAAAGTATATTTTCCTTTTTCCCGCCTAGTTTACCTTATTAGAAAGAAATGGCGATAGCCACGATATTAATTTTATTATAATTGTTAGGAAAAAAATAAACATTAATTTTCCTAATCAGTCCTTGCAAGGTCTTTTACTAATAAACGTCTACTGAGGGACCTTACACCTTGAAACACACTTACACAGGGTACAATTTTGAACGAAGGACAAATTCAAGGATCCGATTGTGGTGCTCAAATAAAACAACTTTTTCCATAGGACCAATATCAAAAACTCAAAAATAAATTGATTGATCGATTTTCCTATACAAATCACAGCAGCTGATTGATTGATTTATTTATTTATTTATGCTTTATTGTACACATGGAAATGAAGTTGGTACAAAAGGCGGACTTAATATGCAATTCTCTACCAGTCAACCTTTTAAAGGTCTGTGTAGTGTATAAATCTTTATTTTATTATTATTGATCATTTTGCATGGAGAAGGAAAAATTTGTTTTGTGATTTCCATAATTATCTTACGGATAAAGTGGTTCTATTTAAGCACCAGAATCGGGTCCTTGGATGTGTCCCTCGTTCAAAACGCCACCCTGTATGTAGGTACATCGCATTGTTGTTAACTTTTTCGAAGGTTTTATACACAGCGTGACCCATTTAATGTACTCTTGTATATTTCGTGTTTTTCCAGCTCATTTCAAACAGCCTTCATTATAGTTTACCTTTCATTCGCTTAAGCTAAGTGGTTACTAAATAATGAATGCGTTTGCTTTTACGAACGACTGCTTCTCTGCCGTCATAATCGTTAGTGTTGGAAGCATTAGGCACTTGAGTTTTTAATATTTAAAAACACGGAATTTTCGCTGTCCAGCTTTTGTTGACTAGCTTTTATAAGGGTTTGGGTTGATTTTTACGGGTTGTACAAATAATCTTAAACACATAGGTAAACAACATATAGGTACCTACCGGAATGTGTAAGTTTAAAATGTTACACTAATTTTAAACCATACGTTATGAGTAAACAAACATTATTTCCAAATAATATTTTTGATTTTTCGATAAAGCAAACATCCCCAAGCACATTTTGTAAGACTTGGGAATGTTTGCCACTCGACCAACAATATAGTCGTCATTATTATTTATATTTGTTGAAGACCAAACCCAGGACAAAGTAAACCATAAATAATTATATTAAATATTTTTAGTTAAAATTTTGCAACTAGATGGCGTTGCCGCAATTAAAAGCGAGCTATGGTTTCGTTACAACAAATAGTATAAGCGTGTAATTTCTTTTGTGTTTCGGATTCATTCATAGATCACTTAGTTCAGATTTCACAGTTCACATCCATAGTTCATATTCAGTTCAAATATACATACCAGCAGTTCAAGCGTAATAAGTGGTTTAAATTTAACCCTATTATAAGCTACAATAGATCATCGATTACTTCGGTAATTAACAATATTAAAACGATGAAATTGAAAATGGCTTCCAGTGTTTTAAAATATTGTCATAGACTTCAATTCTGCAGATATCAATTGTCGATTCAGTAGAAAATATTAATGATGCTTATTACATACCCAGAAGTAATAATCTAATACAATTCTTTATTAATATGAATACCTAAAGCATAATATCCAATTATTTGCCGACCAAAATTGAAATTACCGTACTAATAAATAAAGTTGTTTCTTCAATAAATATCACGTCGTTCAGCATTAATTTCGACCTCGTTTCTACCGTGTTTATTGACATAACAATAGTTTACGATCATTAAATACGGGTAGTCAACACAGAAGTCATGACACAATCTATTACGTTGGAATTACAAGGGGTTCACATATACCAATTGAGTTGAACGTATCAAATTTTCATAACTAATTATTGTAATTGACATTATGTATATTTTCATTCAGTTTCCTATTTCCTTGTTCTTAGTTAAAAATTGGTTTGATTTTAATTATTCTTTGTCGCGTAGAAGTTAATGTTACGTTTGACTTTTGATGTTCGTTTGTTTTTGAGTTGAGTAAACCATCGAATGTCTTTTCTAGTCCTGTAGGCCTACCATGAAGTGTTAAAGTGTGAATCTTTCGGGCGAGAAAGAGGGATGGAGCTATACACTAAGTACAATACATTTTATAGCTCCATCCCTCTTTCTCACTTGGCTCTCTGTTTAGGGCGAGAGAGAGAGTGTCAGACTCTTATTGACTAAAGACGACCCCGTTCCTTCTCCTGCTCCAAGCTGTTGGGCTGAGGTCCATAACTATAACTATACTGCTGTATCTAATAATATATGTATACATTCAGATAAAGCTATGTTACTGATGATATTTGAGCGATAAGGTCTTGAATAAAAATTGCCTTTGAAGATTTTTTTTGTTACATATTAATTTTTCCTGGTCACTTAACAAATAGATTGATGTGAGTAACAATTAAACAGTAAAAAAATAAACCGTTTATTTTTTGCTTCTGTCTTCTTCTTTAGTATTAACAAAAATTAGCTGCTATTAATACGTTGCAGCATTACGTTTGTATAATGTTTATTTAGTGCTTAGCAACAATTCAAAAACATAACTTTTTTGTAACTGCCAAAATTGACAGTTTTCTACGAATTTGAGTGACGCCATGTTTTTATTTGCGTTAAAAATAGCAAATGTTTGTATTATATTTTTTCAGCTTTTCAGAGCTTGTCCAGTCTATATTTCACGGATGTATAAAGTTTTATCATAGCATTGATCGCCGTGTCAGACAATGGTGATTGAAGCTAACAAAATGAAAAATTTTTGGGGGATGAACTGCTCGCGTCCGTAGGTATTACTTAGTTCTACCACCCTACACGTGTCCCCTGGGTAGTGCTAAACGAGCAGCAAATACGGTGGTAGGCCATAGCATCGGCTGCCGGCTTTAAAGTTACCACCCACCAGACAAAGCCATACCGCCAAGCGATCCGTCGTGTTCCGGCGTGATGTCTGGTGAAGCCGTACGGTGGAAGTCGGGTCTGAGCGATTGTGTTGCGATGTATGCCGGGTATGATACACCAGCTACTGTCGCGTCGGACGTTTGATCGTGGAGGGTAGCGGGATCCGAAGCACGGTGCTCCGCTGGCCGACCGTAGACAGTTGGGGGCCCAAGTAGTGTGCCAGCCACACACGAAAGGCTGCCTCGCCATCTGCGAAAAATCCCAGGGTGGCCCCATCGTGCCGGTTGGCGTCCGGGCGAGAGGACCCGATGGCGATCCCTGGGGGGGTTCGGGCGTCCCCGCAGTCTCCAGATCAACCCTCCATTGGCGCGGCTGCACTGGTTGTGTTATGGATATCATCGCATCACCTTGCCCAACTGCCTTCTTCCAGCATCCCTATTCACTCAAATTGATATAAAGAAAAAAAATCATGAAAGGTACAAAGAGAAGCAAGTGTCGACAGCGGATGCACGTCCTCTCGTTTAAAGTGCACCTCTCAAATATCCGAGGACTGCACTCCAATCTCGTTGCGGTCCACCACCATCTGGAGACCGATAAGCCACACCTGCTTTTCTTGACGGAGACGCAGATTAGATGTCCGTCAGATACGGCGTACCTCAACTACCCGGGATACTCATTGGAGCATCATTTCTTGCAGCGTGCCGGGGTCTGTGTGTACGTCCGTAATGACATCTGCTGCCAGCGTCTCCGTCACCTTGAAGACACAAGTCTGTCTACGTTGTGGCTGTTGGTGGACACTGGTATGGACAAAATTGTTTACGCCTGTGTCTACCGATCGCACAGCGGCGATCAGGAGACGACTCGACTTTTTGACCATCTCAGTCAGGCCGCCGATGAGGCTCTGCTTTGGCACCCTAATGCGCAGTTCGTCGCTCTGGGGGACTTTAATGCTTGCCACCAAGACTGGCTTTACCCATACCAGAGGACCGACCATGCTGGGAGAGAGGCGCGGAACTTTGCGGTTTCGTTAGGCCTTTCCCAGCTGGTTAGGCAAGCGACTAGGGTGCCTGATGTGGTTGGTCATACTGCCAATTGCCTGGACCTTCTGTTGACCACCGATCCCGACAGATGTATCGTAACAGTTTCTTCGCCCCTTGGAACTTCAGATCACTGTCTGGTGAAATCTTTATCGTCCTTCTCCCCACCTGACTGCGTCTCACGCGGTGAGCGGCGGATGTGGCGTTACAAGTCAGCAGATTGGGATGAGATGCGGCACTTCTTCGCATCTTATCCTTGGCAGCGGGTCTGCTTCTCTTCTGAAGATCCGTCGAGCTGTGCGGATGCTGTTGCCGATGTGATACGTCAAGCTATGGAGTACTTCATCCCATATACCGACGTACCCATCGGCGGCTCGGCTCACCCATGGTTCAATGCCGAATGCGCTCAAGCTGAACAGCGTAAACATTCGGCTTTTCTCGCCTGGGTTAACGCTCGTGACCATAAAGCTCCGGATCTGAGCTCAAAGAAGAGAGCCTTTAACCATGCTGCCAAGTCCTACAAAAAGGCACTGAGGAAGGCTCGCTTCGACCGCATCACCTACATTGGCACAAAACTCTCTGCACAACCTTCCGGTAGCAGAGCATTCTGGTCCCTTGCCAAGTCGGTCGAAGCGAACTTCTGTCGGCCTACACTGCCTCCACTGGTTAAACCTGATGGAACACTGGCTCATACCGCGAGGGAGAAAGCAGGTCTCTTTGCATCACTCTTCGCCCATAATTCTCGTCTTGACACTTGTGGTGCTACTCCACCAACTCTACCTATCTGCGACACATCGATGCCCGAAGTTCGCTTAAGGAACAAAGAAGTTCTGAGAGCACTGTGTCGTCTAGACGTGAATAAAGCTAGTGGGCCTGATGGTATACCAGCGATAGTTCTCAAGGCTTGTGCGCCCGAGTTGTCTCCTGTATTGACGCGCCTGTATCGCCTCTCATTTAGGACTGGTATTGTGCCAAAGTCCTGGAACCTCGCCAACGTGCAACCCGTGCCCAAGAAGGGCAGTCGTGCCGATCCTGCCAACTATCGGCCGATTTCGATAACCTCCATACTCTGCAAGATTATGGAGCGAGTGTTGAATTCGCGCCTCATGGCATATCTAGAAGGTAACGATCTCCTCAGCGACCGACAGTATGGATTTCGCCGCAACCGGTCTACTGGGGACCTACTAGTTTATGCCACTCACTTGTGGGGCGAGGCCCTCGAGAGGAATGGGGAAGCTATTGCCGTGTCCTTAGACGTGTCGAAGGCCTTCGATAGGGTATGGCACGATGGCCTTTTGTCTAAGCTTCCAGCGTACGGCATTTCTCCTGGACTGATAAACTGGGTAAAAGACTTCCTGAGTGGACGGTCACACCGAGTTGTTATCGATGGATGCTCATCAGAGCCTATGTCGACTAATGCCGGTGTTCCTCAGGGGTCTGTTCTCTCTGCAACTCTATTCCTGCTCCACATTAATGATCTGCTAGTGCCTGGTATCCTTGGGTATGCAGATGATAGCACAGTTGTAGAGAGATACCTGCCCAGTGCTCGGGCTAGTAAGGAGCTAATCCAGTCTGAAAGGGAGGCTATGGTAGAGCGTACGAATGTCTCACTTCAGGTAGTTTCAAAGTGGGGCAAAACTAATCTGGTAACATTCAACGCCACCAAAACACAGGCGTGTCTATTCACCGCCAAAAGGAGCCCGTTCACCTTGGCTCCTGCTTTTCGGGATGTATCCCTGGAGTGCACCGACCGCCTTCAGCTCTTGGGAATGGACATTGCTTCAGACCTCAACTTTGGGCGGTTCATTGAGTCCAGAGCCAAGGTAGCTGCTAGAAAACTCGGCGTTCTTGCAAAAGTCCGACGGTACTTCACACCGAGTCAGCTTCTAATGTTGTATAAAGCTCAGGTCCGATCGTGCGTGGAGTACTGCAGCCACATATGGGCTGGTGCTGCGAAATGCCACCTAGCGGCTTTGGATTCGGTGGAAAGGCGTGCAAAGAGGCTGATTGGAGATCCAGATTTGGTTGGGTCCAATATTCAAAGTCTCGAGCACAGGCGCAGAGTAGCCAGCCTTGCGGTTTTCTACAGGATACATTTTGGAGAGTGTGCCCAGGAATTGCACGATTTGATTCCGCCATCCCAATTTCACCTTCGGACATCCTGGCGTACGGCGAATATCCACCCCTACGTTGTTGAGACACCTGCGGCCCGGACTAAGCGTTTTGCCTCGTCATTTATACCGCGTACATCGAGGGATTGGAACAGTTTGCCGGCTGCAGTCTTTCCGTCCGAATACAACTTAGGTGTCTTCAAGGCTAGAGTGAATAGGCTCTTAATAAACTAGTGCGCCTTACCATCAACGATTGCATCACTGCTTAACATCAGGTGGGATCGCAGTCAAGCACTGGTTTATTGCAAGTAAAAAAAAAAAAAAAAAATGGTAGCCTTTAACAGATTTTTTACGGCAGTTAAATAGTCTTAAGTCGATTTAGAAGTGAGAAGAAGAAACCACGGTTAAAGAAATAAAAGACATACCATGACAGATGGTATAGAACTTCATGCAGTTTAAATGCTCCTAAGAACTAATATGAATCCGCAAATAAATTTAACTCTAAAGACACTGTAAATTAGCCAACACGAAGCTTCGGCACTGCAGGGTCCAATATTAAGCTACTAAATTCCCATTTGGAAAATTGGAAAACGGAATCCATCGATATTATTTTATTTACATTCGGATTTGAAATTTGGAATTAATTTTGAGGTTTAGGAACTCGTATTAATTGAAAAAGTTCAGTGATAGCGATTTCGGGGAAGTATGTTATTTAGGGGCCTTGATACTCAAAGGTAAGGCCGATATTATATGATCAGAAGATGGTGGAGTTTTAATAAGATTTTATTAATTATGTAATTAATCTTGCCTTTAAAATGTTAGGTGTAAAGATACAACTAAAATTAACAAATATAAAATAAAAAAGGTAGGTAGGTAGTTTACTGCGACATTTAGTTTCGAAAAGTTTTTTGTAAACATGTGAGAAACTGAAATCGTGCTAAATTATCTATTATGTTTTCGGCTTACTCACGTAATAATTTGACGAGATACTCGACTAGTTTTAAGCCATGCTAGAAGCCCATATTCATGTCGCGACCCGCGACTAATTTAGAATGTCTCACGAAAGTTATAATGAAATTGTGCTTTTAATTTTGAACGCTTAACTAAACCTAATCTTTTAGTAAATAAGATTCATAATATAATCTTTTAGAAAATAAGATTCAAAATAATAACCTCATTGTTAATATAATCATAATGAGATCATTATCATCGCAACACGACACTTTGAGATAAAAGAACCCCAATATACCCCTTATCTTAAATTATAATGCTAAGAGACGTACACCCTATATCAAAATCAAAAATATAATAAGTGTCAACTTACCAACAACGTTGAGATGAATAAAATGACTCATGTGAGGAGTCGTAGATATTTGACACTCATAAATCCCAGAATCCCTATGCTGTGGATACTTGATCTGGAACAAAATATAACTATTAAATCGAAGCTCAAATTCATCCTTTAATTTAGCCAACGAGATGGAAAATAATAATGCAATGTGTAAGACAATTTTCTGGTCTGGTGAACTTAAGAATCTGCTTGTAAAGTTTTCGTTCGAAGACATTTTGTTGAGTAGCGATTTTTTTGTATCATACATTTTTCTTTTGTTGATTTCGAAGATTTATTTTATAAATAAAAAAATTATTATTAAAAAAACAAAATACCCGACTGCACACTAAAAAAAGAGTAAAACAAGCCCCACAATACAAATTTACTGAATATAATTTATAAATGTTGATGGAAAGCATCGCAGGCGGGGACCAACAGAGGCTTATTTATAGTCATTTCTGTTGTGCACCATTTAGCAGAATTTTCGTTGGTGGCGGTCAAGGTGGTCCCCGCCTGCGATGCTTTCCGTCAACATTTATAAATTATATTCAGTAAATTTGTATTGTGGGGCTTGTTTTACTCTTTTTTTAGTGTGCAGTCGGGTATTTTGTTTTTTTAATAATAATTTTTTTATTTAATACTTTTTCCCGTGGGAATTTTGAGAAAAAACGTATCCTATATTAATTACTCCCGTGATTGAAATGAATCTAATGATACCGCATACATATTTTTTTAAAGGGAAATTTAGAAAAAATATTATTATGTCCTTATCCCGTGGGACTTTTAGGACAAAATGTATCCTATGACACTCCCGTAATCAAGACAAATCTAACGATACCTCATACATCAAAATCCATCAAGCCGTTTAGGCTACAGGAGGTCACAAAGGAAAAGACATACATACATACTTACATACACTCGAAAAACATTACCCTCCTTCTTTGGCAGTCGGGTAAAAAATATATGCATCGAATGTTACGTATTGAAATTATTGATTTTATTATACCAACGACTAAAAAATGACTTATTTTGGTAAAATTTTTCAATTTGACGACATAACTAAAGGAAAGTGTGCGTGAGTATATTTTTAAGGATAAATTGGCCTAAGGCTATGCTAATGTTACAGAAACAACATTTTGTACACTATTCAATGTCGTAATAAGAACAGAGTCAGAACATTTTAACGTGAACCATCAACCATTTTGTATGTCGGCAATGTAACATTCAGAACAATATTCTAGAAGTTTCTAAAGATAAATGTGTACAGATATGTTTTAGAAACATTATCTGCTTAAGCAAACATTTCAGTGATCTTAAGTACAATTAATATTATTATGTGGTCCACGGGATTTGTTTGAATTGTTATATGACACGATAAAATAAACGTTGCTTGAACTGCAATAAATAAAATGAATGGATGTGTAAATTTTCACATAAATAATGGTTGGTTGCGTTTTAATGTTTTGTGTTACTATAATGTATATTACCTTAAAATATCGTACATTGCGTAGGCCCTCTTTCTATACGGAATATTTATTCTACTAAATATTTGATTCGGACTTCCAAAGGACATTATTATACAAAAAAGTATAAATATTTTTTTAAAGTATGTAATCTAGAAATAAAATGAACTAATATTGAGCATCGGATATCCTCTTGTACTAACACAAATCCAATGATAAATGGTCTTCAACTGATCTTACATAATTAATACATTAGCTACCACGATACTGATGACTTTTGTTGGCGAAAAATTGAAGCTATTGCTACTTCATCAGTTTTTTGTTGGTCGTCAATGATAAATCTAAGCAAAGTAACAATCCCTTGCAAAAACTTGCTACAAGCAATTCTACTCTGATATTCTACTATATGTAAACAAATATTATTTGTCTCCATTAAAACTCCTAAAATGTCTCGTTTGCTTGTTATTGTTGAAGAAAGGATATTGAAGAAGCTCGGTTTTTATCTCCAAGGCAAGTTGCCAAAACATAGATTACAATCTTAAGTGGTTTCTTGAACATGTAGCAAAGTTTATCCCTAAAACGCGGAGGGCTGGGTCTTATTATTCAATCCAATATGTCATTTGACTTGCCAAAACACTCTTTAGCTAAACGTGTTTGTCCGAAAAGTTGTTTAGTTTATAGTCAAATACATACCTAATATTAAACATTAATAACTAAATGCTTCTTCTCATATGAAGTTTTTGAAAAACCGTTATAATATCTTAGAATAGCGATAAGGAGTGTCATACGCTCACTGACTAAAAACCACCCCACTCATTCTACTTTTTTTGGGCAGGGTCCGCGGTATATTCGTGCGTTTGCACCTGCTGCGATATGTATATGTATAGATCACTGTAATATAAGGCTTTTATATAAGGGTTTTATTGGCTATGTAAACGAATACATTGATCTTCTGGTAGTAAATGATTACCTTTACCCTTACCCTTTTTATATTATGTATATAGGTAGAAAGTCTAGTGCGAGTTGTTTTTTTCGCTAAGGCTATCGACATGTTTATGACGTTTCGAGCTTTGATTGTCCAGTTCCAAGTTAACCAACCAATTAGAGGGCTCAAAATGGTAAGGTTTCTACAACGTTAACGTAAAGGGAACGTGAAGTAGACAGATGCAACAGAAGACATGCCATACAGTAGCTAAGCAACTGGCTGGTGCGCAACATGTCGCTGGTTTGATTCTCGCTCGAAACAGCTCATTATGTGATCGAAAGATTGTTGCTTCTAGGTGTTATTGTGCTAGCATGGTGTGTGTATGTTCTCATGTTGCGGTAAAACAGATGACTAGACAATAATGATATTCCAACATGACAACAAAAACCATTTTCAAAACGGTTTCCAAAAATAGAAACTAACTTTCAATGATATTTGACGTGACGGTATTCAATATATTACCCACCTGTAAAGTCCAATCCTCTGAGTGCGGTAAGTGAATGGCTCTAAACCTTTGATCGCTCGTGTATGTGTATCGGCCGACTGTTAGCAGATGGATGTCTCTGTGCCGTACCCACGATACTTGCATGTTTAACTGGAACAAAAATGTTTTATTAGACACGAAATTTTATTAGTATGGATTAAATTTCTAGTAGTAACTTATCCGGCGAACTCCGTTTGGCCTCAAAATTAATAAAAAAAATCGTCAAAATTCATGACCGTTTTATTTACTGCCACTTATAAAATAATATCATTTACAAAATAACTCTTTGTATGAAATACAAATTGTTGTAAATGCACTCACTACACAGGAGGAAAACTTAGTGTAGGGCAACGATTTTTAAACTTAAAAAAAACTTAATTTAAAAAATATATATTTAAGCCATTCTTCTTTAAGACCTGTTTTAATTTAACTACCATGAAAAATTTGATAAACTTATTTTGTATAAAGTAAATACTTTACCAAAACCCTTACCACAAACATTTTAGGGACTTATATGAATCCAAATTAGTCAAGCCAATCAAGGTTTAAATAAGTATTTTAAACTTAAAAAAAGAGTTAATATTCTCTCTTAAAAAATGTGCAAGAGAGCCAAGAAAAAATTAATGCAATCTTGTGGGATCATCTCTAAAATATTCTTGGCAACCTTAAATATTACACAGGGAACTGAGGTAGTTAACGAAAACTCATTTTCCTTTGACGTAAAAAATAATATCAAATAGAATCGCATTAACGATACGTTATAATCGAGCAGGGAAATAGGAGCCTTAATGGTTTAACATTGTAACCTGTACCTGACTGTCATTAGCATTAGTTGGCTTACAAAGCTTTGCTCTCATTTGACTGTAGCGATCATTACACAGGCCCTAATTAACGTGGTTTTTATTTTTCATTTAGTTCGATCTGCTGATAGTATCCATTAGTGCATTTTCTTGTCTTTGAAGATTAAGGTTTCTGACTGGATAATAATATTTTATATAAATCTTTTTTTTAATTTTTAGGTAAACTTAAGTAACTATTGAGTTCATTTCTGGTGAATCAGGTCACATGTATAACTGTTTTGTATCCCAAATAAATCAGAAAATATTAATTTATATATTCATATACACATAAAAAATTATATATCAAATATATTATAAACGAAAGTACATTAAAACAAAAGTATATAGGAATTGAACTTTCCTTTTGAGATTTCTTCCTGCAATATTGTTTGGGGAAAAATAATTAGACTCTTATAGTTCTGTCCACTGTACATAGAGTGACTGTATTGTTGAACTACCTTATTAACAAAGCTCTGATACAATTTGAGACTCCTGAAACGTAATTGAAACCCGCTGAACAATTAAAAAAAAATCTTAAACAAGAAAAAATAAATTTCTTGACCTTGCATTGGCATCTGATATAGCTTTCTTCACTCTAGCAATTACTCGACGAACTAAAATTAATTTAGCTTCAAAACGACCTACATACATACGTTACAAGCGACATGGTTATAGTTTGTAGTAATTTAATCGAGCGACCGTGGCCTGAAATTATATCGATACAAGCGTATTGTATACAATTATCGTTATTATTGTAGTATTTTAATGAAAGTGGCAACTATAACTGTTGTTCATGTTCGATTCACATAATGCTTAGTCATGTAAAATGAAACTAATATTTTTTTATGAGTGTGAAACTTTTTTACTGTCACAGTCATATCTATTTGTAGCGTGTATTGTTCATAGACATCTATTCAAAAGGTAATTAATGAAATTATCGTATTTATCGACTTAAACTCGATTGGTTTCCACACTAGGAGCTCATATTCAAAAGCATCATTACTTCGTCAAACTGTAAAGTGAATAAGACGATACCTTTTTTGGTAGGGTAAAATCATAAAATAACTTCTGTCGCTTAGAAGAGGCGATAGGGGGTGTCTTACTAACTAAAAACCCCCGTTCTTTCTCCTGTCACGGTGAAAACCGACCCTGTAGAATCCCATCTATGTTGGTGGAGCAGTAAGACGATACTTAATAATGTATTTAAATATCGCTAACGATATTTATTTGTTAATAGTAATGTTTTTATATCTTCGAATTTTATAGTACCTATTTGATCAATATTCTATTTAGAAATTGAATTAAAATCCAATATCGATCCGAACTAAGATTCAACGAGATCGCAAAACAGTAAAATGCTGTTTGAATTGAAACATACACAATGCAAACACAATAACAATAGCTGATATGATTGGTGTCATTACAAACTGAAATGTAAAAACAATAAATGCGATCGAGAAAGTATAGTATTTTGTTCTTACTGTGTTATTGTATACCTCCTACTTTATTTTGTGTTTTGGCACCGAGTTGTCGCTTCTGACATACCGCTGTTAAACCCTCGATGGTTTTTGCTGGTATGTATATACAAGTTATACCGCGTACATCGAGGGATTGGAACAGTTTGCCGGCTGCAGTCTTTCCGTCCGAATACAATTTAGGTGTCTTCAAGGCTAGAGTGAATAGGCTCTTAATAAACTAGTGCGCGTTACCATCAACGATTGCATCACTGCTTACCATCAGGTGGGATTGCAGTCAAGCACTAGTTTATTGCAAGTAAAAAAAAAGTTAATATGATTGTATCAATATTGTTGTGAAAAAAAATATAAGATAAAGCAAAACCTTATTACGCAACATCATTTAGTTCATCTTTCTTCAGTGTCTAAACAAAAACTTAAACATCCAATGTGCACGCTATGGAACTATCAAAAGGTAAAAATGGGGCTTATATGGGCCTGGCGTTTCTTTGTGAGATTAATACATTGATTCAAAAGTGATAGAGGAGATTTTCAAGCAAACAAGATTTGCTAACTTAGCCAGTATAATATAGTATAATAGCTAAAATGGCAGGAGGCGGCACGTATGGCTCGGAAAACCATCTTGGATGGAAGCCACGTACAGACAAGAGCAGCTCAAAACGCACGATTTAATGGTGGCATGCATCCGCTGGATGCAGGTTGTTTACAACCAATCTATCAAGAAGTCATTGGCAGAAGCTATGCTCAGCAGTAAAAACACGTAATGATGATAATATCAGTAACATAAACAACATTTTCAATAATGAATAAGACTTACAAACATTCTGAAAAATCATTATAAATATCATTAAGTAACAAAAAACTCATAAACCGGCCACATTAAAAAAATACTGCAAAACGAAGTCTCCAGAAAAGTTATTAAAAACACGAAACCGTTTACCTGAAACCAATTACGGGCCAGCACATAAATTTAGAACCGTTGATAGCGTCGCATTTAAAAAAAGCCGTGTGAAAGAAAGAGAGATCTCGTTACGTAGACCTGTTATTTATGTGGGATGTGGCGACTTCGCCTAATGAGACTTTTATTTATAAAGTTCAGCACAATACAGGCTTTAAAGTTTCATTCTGCTATTGTTACGTTTCATTTTAAGCGGGGAGTTTGTGGTACCCCACTATGTAAATTGGACGGTGCCTGTTGAAATAAGGGTAACTCGTTAGTACGTAGTGTGTACTCGAGGTTACCACACGTCTGTATTGTTACGGGTGCTTAACGTAAGTGCGTTGGCGCGGCAGTAATGTTTTGAAGTAATTTGACTTTCTGTTTTTATGACACCAATTTTATTTTGTCTATCTCGTTTTCAGTTGTTGCGGTTTATGATGGGGTCATTACAAAAATAATAGGTTGTGCATTTTGAATAACAGTTGGGTTACAGTTGAATCACAGTTATAGGTTTTCTATTGCTTTGCATGCTCTTTATCCTCCGTACCTTGGACCAAAGTATCGTTTTTTTATGGTATAGGTCGGCAAACGAACATGTCTGATGGTAAGTAATCAGCGCCGCCCATGGAAACCCGCAACACCAAACCAGTTAAGAGCGCATTGCCAGCTTTTTAGGGGATAAAGGATTGTCATTCGAATGCCTACGCAGAGTTTTTGAACAGTTTCGTTAGGTACACATTTACACACGAAAACAACATGTACCTAAGACGTTGGTCTAATCAAATACGTTCTGATTTAAACGCCACTGTACATAATGAGGAAGAAATTTTCTGTTGAACCTAACTCAACAGTGAATAAGATTTACAATAGTTATAACAAAAGCCTGATCCTATAGCTGCCAAGACTCTGGGCCTTTACTAAGACATTATATCTATACCTACGTCAATCATCGCGATTGACACGGATCACTATAGCTTACCTATGTACAAGCTACGTGTAAAGCGCTTCAATCAAAGTAATTGCCAATATATCAATACACGTCACAAATGTACCAACATTGGCTGTACACAACATGTTGGCGCATACATTGGCGTTAAGGCCGTTAACCTACCGACAGCGAAGAAGAGAAAGGAGATATTCCCTCACCCAAAAAAATTAATGAAAAATGTCTAATGCACTTCGTCAAAGTTTATTGCGGAATGTCATAATGGCAACGAAAAATGGTCCAATAATAAAATTTATCATCGATCGACGAGATAATAATCGTCTTAGAGATGTTTTTATCAGCAGTTACAAGTCACAGCTAGAGACAGATGTAGGTTTTCCATAGATATGCTTCTGCAAGCCAGGGTACTAGGGCCCATTGCACTAAGAAACTCCTATGTAACCTATTTACAAATATCTCTGAGCAACTCACTTGGTTCACACTGCTTTCAAACTAAATTCTAGTTTCTAGCTTTGCTCGCTTCGTCGTCGTTGGGACAAGTGCCTATAACCCAACGTATTATCCCCAAAAGATAGAACATATCCATTGCCACTGACATAAACCCAACTAGGCACGTGCAAGATGGCGGGATAATACCCCAGCCTTTTATCTTTAGCGTCGTTTCGTGTGTGATATAAAGTTAGGCGGGAATCTTGTGACGGAAATAACATACAGTTAAATTAAATTATTTTTACTTGTACGCAAATTGCTATCCACAAGCTCCACTTTTTATTGTTTTTGCTATATGTCAATTGATATTTTTCAATAAACTTTGCGTGCAAAATTTTTGTGCGGATTGGCATTGCTGAAGCTTAGCACTCTTATAATGAAACAACAATGAAACAATGAATTTATTTTTGCAAATAGGCCATAAAACGGCACTTTTACATGTCAATTTATATGTAAAAAACTAGATGAAGCCGGCATTTCCTATCTGACTACTCTGAGAAGAAATGCCGAAACAAACTCAGAGGTCAGTCTCTTTTCAAGTCCAGACAATGTAAAAATAACATAATGTGAGAGAACCGTGCAAGTTCATTCTGTAGAGGTCTAGTGGTATAAAGTTAATATTAAAAACTAAACACAAATATAAAGACACTAATTCATCCACATACCGTTTTATTTCCTAAGTTCTTGACACGGCAATTTAAATATGCCGTTTTTCCGAGCAGGGCTGTCACGTTCTTAGACGCCATCAGGTCGAAATAAGGTCCGGTCCGAGGTGTTGGCCTTGGGCCATCGAGGGCCACTCCGGACCGGATCGCGTTGTCAACGGAACCGGCCGGCGATGCCGTGGCGGAGGCGTTCGTCGGCGAACCCTTGCCGAGTTCGCGCTGCGCTGATGATACTGTGAAAGAGAAAACAGACTTTATTTATTTGTAATTGGGTACTTACCGATTAATATACAACATTTAATATGAAACGTAAATAAATAATGGAAACAGTTTATCCAAGTTTCGTAAATATTACTGAATGCTCCAGAGAACTAGGCAAATAAAATAAACGACAGGACGTAATTCTTATTACGACTGTTTTTCTTATAATAAATAAATTGTCGACAAAGTCCCCAAGGTCCATTTACACCTGATCCTATTAAAATCTAAAAGGAAATTTTGTCACGAACTGAGACTAGTATCACCTCTAGAATAAATTTTGGTAAATTGACTCAAATTCGAAGTTACTTTTCCCCTATTTTAACCCTTGCAAATATAGTGCGGTAGGACTGAAATAGATTAACGCCGACAACTTTATTATCCGTGTCTGTTCTGCTGGAAACTTCGTAAAACCGATCACGTGTGTGAACATCACTTGAGTGAGTGACGTCACGCTGGGCATTCACGCCATGCGCCAGTTTTACTGGGAATGTAGCGCGCTGTTCAACTTTATTTCTTTTTGTGTCAGGAAAAATTGATTGAATGTCCCATGTAGGTGTTTCTTCGAATCTGTTTAGAGATGTTTTAGGTTTTGTGGGTAAACTTAGACAGAGGTTGCTGTTGATATTTTTCCAATATGTTTGCACCCGTTTTATTCAAAATTGAAATGTCTTTTATGTCGTCTCCAAAAATATGATACATAATACTTAATTTGTTCGCACACACAAGGGTAAATGGAATGATATTATAGAACATTCCATTCTTCTTTTTTTCTGAACAAACAAAATCTTAACTCTTGGCCATCACAATAGTAATTTAATACACGTTTTATGAAAGCAAAGTGTGAAGATAAATATCAACAACAACTGCTTTCGAATAACGAACACCGTACTGAGTATCATGTTACCGAAAAAGGAAAGCTAACATTTTAAAAGGCACACACACACACACACGTTCCTTATATTTGCCAACCTTGCTTCAAAATGCTTTCAGGGACTTTGTAAGAAACATGAGCACGCTAATGTTATTTTAATGTGTGAGTACTGTTTTACGTGTCTTACTCATGACACATTATTTTTTGAATACAACCATAATGTGTTGATTACTTTGAAGATAGTTTTCGTTTCACATGTATGATTAATGCAACAACGCTCTTTAGGGTAGTTAGGGCAGGTTTTCAAACCGTTACGCCTTCGTTTGTACCCATAACTTATCAAACAAAATGAATGCTTAAATACATTCTGATCAACATTCTCAAAGTTCTAACAAAAATACGAAGAAAATTTTGAAAAATGGTTTACAACATAATTATTAATTTTATTATAATAAACAAACAGTGTATAGTAGAAGACAATAATATTTTTATCTTCTTAGCAACTAATCTTTAATTACCATCTCAAGGGTTATAAAATTAAATAGCGTTAGCATATCTATCTAGCCTTCAGAGCCAGAATTTGAATGAAAAGCCGTTGTCGCCTCTATCAGTTATTATCCTGTCATTTAGAGTGGCACCTGTTCCCTTCGGAGTTCCTTAGACTCCATTCTTCGTTCCATCATCATTGTTGGAAGGCGACGAAGCACGAGTAAATTCTATGCTTTGTTTATTGTAGTCTTTAATGTCCTGCTCTTAAGACTGCAAATGTGTATTCATGTCTTGATTTAGACGTCTTGAAACATAATTGCTGTCGTCAGCCTTTAGGTTGGATTTATTAATTCCTAACAGATTATTTACATATTTAGGTTATTTTTAGGTATTCTTAAAATCTCTTTTCAACAAGCAATTTTTTTTTAATCGAGTAGATATTTCAAGAGCCTGGTAAGTATGATAAATAGCATCAGAAATACAAAAAAGCTGTACATTACTCAATACTTATTTAATTTATCTATATGAGTTGCAAATGGCGTCTTTAAAAGCAACACAATGAGATGTCATTACACAAAAAGGCTTTGAAAAAAAATAGCACATTATATCTAAGGCTTTACTAATTTAATAAGACATAAAACTAAGGTACATAAAAGATTTTCGAGACAATGTCTCGAACAAAACATTTCAGTGATGCAGAAATTAAATTTTTGCTAACATAAAAGACGTGATTTTTTGCAATTCTTTCAATTTTCAAGTTCATTTCAGTAAAATGATAAAAGGCAAATGCGAGCGATTTATTAAAAAGCACAATTTATGCTTTATAAAATGAAAAAAGTATAGCTAGATTATGTCTCGTGGTTTCGCTTGAGTATGAAGACAAAATACGTAAATTAATAAAACTCATGCATTCTAGTGAAAGAAAATATATGATTTATTAATTACATACCTACAATTTTATTTTTTCCATCTTACTAAAACCTTCAATTTAAGGTCAAAAGGTCCAATAAATACCAAATTAATTTAAATTCAAATACGAAATCGAATAACTAATATTGTAATGACATTCGAATTACAAATTACGCGTCAAAATTTCCGCAAGCAAATATTTGGTCGCAAATAAATTTAACAACAGTTGAAGGTTTCTCATTTGTTCCCACTTTCCGCAGGCCCGATGCTAATAACATACATGATAATAAACTAGGAGGCCTCGCTATTGTTATTGCTGACGGTATTGAATATCACAAAATGGCCGCGTACAAGGGATCGGAACAAAACACGCACGGCGAACAAGAAGGGTTCGTTGGTAATTTTATAGCGGAAGCCCTAACATATTTTTACAGAGCTGCTAGGGAAATGCCAAAAGTTTTTGTGTGCCAATGAATACATTCTTGTTTAAGTATCGTTGAGTTGTGATCTAATAAATGACAAGGTGTTATTAAGACTTTGAATGTTTTTGGAAACAAATATGTTACTAAATGAAATCCCTACTTTTCTATTGCTAACTTTGGAGTAAAATTGATGTCTCAATACACTGCGTTCCAGATAAATTTGAACTTAGTAATGTATTTTGTATTGAAAAAAGTGACACATCATTTTACTGGTAATTTATATGAAGGTAATGAAGCGTGCGCTTTGTTTAAAACTGATAAAATTTCTAAGTACTCACAGTTTTTTTCATTGATAATGACAGAAATCTGAATGACACACTCTTCATTTACTAGCCATTCGACCACCACAGACGGGGCCCTAAAGGGCTGATGTTCAGCCGGGGTTGCGGGGTAAGCGCAATGAGGTACCGCGACCTCGGCACAGAGCAGGAGAAGGAACAGGGGGGTTTTTAGTCAGTAAGAGTCTGACACTCCCTCCTGCCCGGCCCTGGGCGGGAGAAGTCATTTGATGATTTTCCCCTCACAAAAAAAAAAACACTTCATTTACTAATACACCAGTCTTCCTAACGGTGACCATTCATCAATTTTGAATCTAACCTTAATTAAAATACGGCTTCAAATAGTTCTAGCATAAATTACGTCTCATGGTATCACAAGCTTAGCTCCGTGTGCCGTATATTTTAGAGGTTAGGGCAGTCTGCAACATATGCAAAAGAGGATCCACTAACGAGTTTAGACAGACTAAACTTAATTGCCAAAATGTAACACTACAACTCGAGTTATCTTTTCTAACTTAGATTTGAAGCACCCATACATATAAAGCACATGTTTATAACTAAAGTTATACGCAATGCAGATGTGAAAGGAATTTCTGACCAGTGTCTGCAGTATTCGGAATTTGTCTTAAAATAAATCAGGTTTTTAGAGCTTAAATGTTTGTCTAGGAATGGGCTAAAAAACTTGGGATTACTTATGCGGTGGTTTTCCAGTGCAATTTGTAAGGATTCGGTCTGTAAATGAAGATGTACCGGCGTTGAACTCGGCTACTATCTTTGTAGTTTGTTGTGTGACGTCTTAGTGTAGTGTAACGTTAATGTGTTTGTGTTATACAGAGTGATTTATTTTTCGTTTCCTTTAGTTTTGTTTCGGTTTGCTCCATCCTTTTGTTTTAGTGTAATTGTGTTAGGATTGTATGTTACAAAATGTTACGTTGTCTTCTTGGGGTTTCTAGTTAAGGTCATATATTACATTGTTAGTAACTTCTAAATCGCAATATGTAAGTTTTTCTTATGTAGGTATATAAATTGATTATAAGTTCGAGATATATTTAGTTATGACTCATCATCATCATCATCATCAGCCTAAAGTGCCCACTGCTGAGCAAAGGCCTCTTCTCACACGGAGAAGGTTAGAGCATTAATCACCACGCTTGCTCAATGCGGGTTGGCGATTTCAAACTTATAATTAGAAATTATAAGTCCAGGTTTCCTCACGATGTTTACCTTCACCGTATGTCAGTGGTGCCTAAATAATCATAGATAGTACATATAATTTGGAAAAAGTCACATTGGTACTTGCCAGGATCGAACCCACACCCTCATGCATAAGAAGCAGGCTCCTTAACCTCTGGGCCACCACGACATTAGTTATGACTAACCTGCACAAACATGGTAAAAAAACTCATACCAAAATTCCTCAATATCAATAAAAAGTTCTATTATGACAACAAAAATAAACATGGAATAAGGAATAACAGATTAAACCACTACCTGAAATAGAAATACCCAATAAAATCCTAAGAAAGCAAAACTATTTGACCTCACTTCTCAATATTCGTTAATATCTCATAACTTCTAACAGCCGATAATCCAAATACCCAAGAAATAAAACAAGCCGAATGGATAGCAGTAATAAAACCGACCATTACTGAAGTAAACAATATTAGAAAGAGTCGGGGGTTATAAATCTAAGAAGAAATGCCCAGACAGCGATGGCCGTCCAAATTGTGGCGAAAGATGGCACTATATACGTAATACATAAGTTAGATTACGTCGTGTTTTGTCGACCGAAGATATTTTCTTTTGATAACAAGTTTCGTAAATGTTTATCGTAAGTTAAAGGCTAGTTCTGAAAAGAATGTTAGATAAATGGCAAAATAATCAACATGGTTCCCTTAAAAGGCACACTACTCATTGAAAAAAACAAAAGTCAGAAGTCTGTT